TCTCGTTACCAGGCCCTTTACCGTCAGCCCTTCAGGCACGAGGACACTCACCACCGTGAGGTTGCGTATCTCCTCCATCACCCGCGGCCAGAAGGACTGGAGGCTTTGCTGGGCATCACTATTGCCAGCCGTGCCGAAGCCGCCATCCGTGGACATGCTGGTAGCTGGGAGAAACAAAAACAAGAATCAGCAACGAGTGAGGAAGGCAGGAGTCAAAGGCTCTCGGCGATTCTCTCCACGTCCCAGGACTACAGGAAGGGGCCAGCCAGGCTAATCGCTCGGGGAAACTGTCAAAATAAGATAGGCCAGTCCAGGTCTCGCAGCAACAACGCAGCCGCTGCAACGGTTGGTTTAGATTTTATTTACTTTTCCAAAGGCTGAAAAAGAACATTGAAAACAAACAAACAAAAAAAAGCAAGAATACCCTCATTTTCCCCTCAGAGCTCTGCCTTCCCACAGGGGGTTACGAAGCATCACTGACGCTCGTCGCAGCTCACGCCCGTTATAACGTCATTTTCCCTCCGACTCGTCACAGCCAACAGGGCAGGCTGTGGCAGTAAACCCCCCTCGAGTTGAGACCAAGATGTCACCGTCAGCCCACGATTATCTCTAAAGAGCGTAACGAAACAGTTGCTTCTGGGCCTCTTTGAAAGGCGCCAGGATTCGTGGCTTTACACTGCTTTTACGCTTCCTCCTCTCCCGCGGTATCATCCACAGGAGAAAGGAACCGCCTGTGCAATGCAGAGTGTCAAAAGCACAAAGAAAGATTTCAAATTCAAATCTTCCGTGAAACAATTTACAAAAAACCCCCAAGCCTGTCATTTAACGTTCTGCGCCGGCAGGGCGTTGAGTCCGGCTGTTCCCAAATTCACCCTGGACATCGCCGGGGCCTTCTGCAGGCTTGTGTCTTGGCAAAGGGCTTTCTCTAGGGTATGTGCCATCGTCATCAGGAGCTTGCACGGAGAAAAGGAAGGGAGCACCGCCGCGTCCTGACTTGTCCCTGTAACCACGCTGTGCTGCAGGGAAGAAGAGGTCAGGACACGCGGCATCCACCAACCCTGGGTGACGGGACGGTGCCAGCCCGCGGCACGCTGTCCAGGCACGTGTCACATTCCGGCTGACACAATTCTTTTCCTCCATGAACTCCCAGATCAAGCCCTGCCTTTCTGATGAGGAACGCCTAAGGCAGCTCTAGTTAAAGTACAATCAGAAGCACAACTTGGGAACCCCCTGGAACACCAAGGCCAGCCTCGCTGGCTGCCCCTGCGCAACGGAGCGCGTGGCTCCGGCAGGATTCCCAGCAGGGATCGCAGCCCAGGAGGATGGGGAAAGACGTGCCAAAAGCACACGCACGACCTGCCGAGATGCAGCCCAGCAGGATGGGACTCGGTGCTTCCCACAGGCTGAAAGCTTCTCAGTGGATTCCAGAGGAGCCACTGCTCGCTTCTCCAGCGAGCGGAGCAGCGGAAGCCGCGAGCTACCGGCGCCAAACACTCTCGGGGTCACCCAGAGCAGCTCTGAAGATTCCCTGTGTGACACGCACACAGCACGTACAAACAAGACGTCTGTCCCGTAACTTCCAGTAAAAAAGGAAGGGTGCTGTGTTTTCCATAGGGAAAGGTCTCAATATACACACGGGTACCTGTGTCTCGCCGTGTGACGGGAAGACTCGAGAGCAGATTTAGCTCTGCCAAACAGGCACCATCCCCTTTTGCTTTTCCCCTGCCACGTGAAGGTTTATTCCAGGCCTTCCTCGAGCCGAAGGGAAGCGCAGAAACACGACAACACGCCAGAACACTGACGGGAGGCAGTTGCCAATTGCCAGTTATTTCAGATTTTTCTATTCCAAAGCAACAATGCTCCATAAACTCTTATTAAGAGATCAAAGAGATGAATGTCAGACAATTAGCCCGTTGCCTCCCGCAGCCTACGCTTTCCAAGGCACGACTCCACCAGCAGCCGCGTTTCTCTTTCATCAACCAGAGAAGGGGACATGGGAGGTGCGGGAAGAGCTGAAGGGGATTACAACAGGGGATGACAAAGGCCAGATTTTCCATCCCCAAGTGAGAGTTCAGGGCAGGAAGAACTCCATGTAAGGAACCTATGGAAACAAGTGACTGACAGGTTACTTGAGGAGTCTTCAGAGACTATTGAAATTATAATACTATCCACTTATAAACTAAAGTATTTCAGGTATTTGTAAGAAAATATATATAGAGAAATATTCTAGTGAGTGTTCAATTGGCATTTGATTCTCCCCCTTTGATCTGCATTGTCAAATATAGCCAAAAAGTAGTTTAGGCACATAAATAAGAAGCTAACCCTTGAAATCTGCTTTGTGGTGGCAATATTTCAACACCAGCACCAGCCGGGGTCTCCCCTGCCACTGGAGAGTCTGTCCTGGTGACGAGCCAAGTCGCTTTTCAAGGCTTTATTGAAAAATACCAGTTACTTGCATTCAACCCACTGACGTGCTGGACTGGAACGGCCCATGTAACCCTCAGAAACAACAGGTGAAAAAAAGAAAAAAGCTGATGGAGCAAAGAGGGAGAAAATTCCATCCCCCCCACGGCTATGTTAACCCCGAAAAGCGCATTTCTTACATTAAATATAGGCCTCTGGGGTACTCATCCAGGTTTCAGGAAGAGCTAGGAGCGGTCTGCTCCAGTCATCTGTAATTTAAAGAGTCCTGTTGATGAATATGACAAAATTCCTGTCTTGAAGGTAAACACAGAGCTGATTCCGGAATGGGAAACACACTGCCGGATGCTCGACCCAAGGGACAACCGCTCAGCAAAAGTGACTGAGTGACAAAAACGGGAGTCGCTCTAGGCGACTGCTGAGGGTAACCGTTAGGAAACGGAGCAAGAGTAAAACAAGTCACCAATAGGCTGATTTTCGGAAAACCAGTTAGCATGGAATCACTAGAAACTCCAGAAAAGCCCAAGCAGGTTAAAACTGCTCAGAACATGACTGCAGCCATCTCCTCCCGTTAAAATACGGAGAGAAACGTGGCGCTGAAGGTGCTCACAAGCGTTACGGGAGGATTACAAGGAAAAGGGAGAAACCCAAACTGCCAGGCAAACCCACGGTGTTGGCTCCGAGGGACAAACTTCACTAGCGACACCATTCCTGCGGAATTAGGTAAGCTCCTCCACCCAAGGGGAAGCTGCGTTCCTGAAAAACACCTCACAGAAGGATTAGTGCCAACCAAGCACACAATGGAAGATAAGCCCCCCCGAGCAGCTCCTCTGATTTCACAGTATCAGTGTCTAAACCTGTTTGGCTTTGCTGATATGCAGTTGGCAGGGACATTTGAGAGCTTCATCTCTCCTCCTCCGGAGATTCCCTCCCAGAATGCAGAAGGGCAGAGGCGCTGAGCATCCCCCGGCTCCCTGCCCTGCACACGTAACGCGAGGTACGGTCTCCCAGAGGAGCGAGCCGTCACCCACAGCACCTTGGTGCCAAATAACAGAAGTTAAAGCTCATCTCCCATGTCACCCGGTTGCCACAAAGCGTAACCGCGACCGGAGAGGACCTGCCGACGCCAGCACCGCCGCGTCTTCGCGCAGAAGCGGGGCAGGTACCTCATGAGCTTGACGCACTTCTGCTCCGCACGCTTAACGCGAGCCGTCAGCTCAGCGGCGCGCTGCCTGGAGCTGCATCACGGCAAACAGGAGGGTGATTTATGCTCGCCTTGGATCAGCTGAACTACCGGGGGGAGACCCAGGAGCCTGCAGCCTCAGAACCAGGCTACGCAGAGATGTTCCTGCAGAGGAATCTGGAGGAGGAGGTTCACGCACACACGGAACGCCAACTCGCAGCATGGACGCGTTACTCCGTGAGATACGAGCAAGGAAGCGAACAACTCACCCAAAACACACACAGCAAGAACTTGAGGGTAAGGGCAGGAGAGAGTGTGACACACCTGCTTTACAACAGCCAGTCCAATCCACACAGCCTGGAACATGCTCCAGGAAGGCAAACGTTTCCAGGCTAAGGGAAAAAGACACCAAAGGCCAAGAAGCTGAGGCCCCCGGGAACTGCCCAGAGGTGACTGATGAGGCCCATCTTGAGACCCACACCACGCCCGGAAACTGGAGCGGAGCACCTTTCCCATCCCGCGACAAACACGGATGAGCTTCACTTCCGAGGAGCGCCAAGACACCCCCAGCATATGTGGCTCTGGTTTTGTTGTGGCTTGTTTGTTGAGCCTTTTTTCTTCTTTCTAAGCAGCAGCTAGCCTGTGCTCTTTCCTTAATGCCGCGGGAAGGGGGAAGCAGGCACACGGAGCTGTCTTATCCTGGATGCCTGCAACCTGCCTGCTTGAGCAAGGACCTGCTATTGAAAACAAGCTACGGCATAACCTCAAATGAACCCAAGACCTCCGATCGTGCAATTCCACCCCGAACAGGCACCCAGAGCTGGAAAACCAACAGCCAGAACAGCCCAGCGGAGCAGCAGCTGCCAGCTAAGGCCACAGATATTCCCAAGCATCACTGCTGCCAAGAGAACTTGGGAACAGGAACTGGAGAACACCCTCCCCGACCACCGAGGGTCAGGTCACAGATTGTGATGTGCCTACTTTTAAGTTAGTCCTAAGCTGGCCCTGACTAAGAAGTCAATCAACCAAAATCAGGTGGGTGGAGAGCAGATCTACATGAAATTTATCCAAACACCTGCAGGGATATGCAAACAGCGAGTGCTGGAGGGAAGCACTGAAGAGCCTCGAGGCTCTCGATGAAGGAGGCAATAACTCAGCAGCATCAGCAAGTCCCACAGACCCCGGTGATGCCAGATCGTCAGGTTCTTCGCATGCAGTACCGTCCCACGACTTACGTTACGGGAAAGAGCCCATTTTACACAGCACTGGTGGCAGTAGGAGCATATTCCATCCAAACGGCCGGTAAGAGCCACATTTGGAGGCTAAAAAGAAATCAGACAGCGGCTCAGGCAAACGTTTTGCCTCACCAGCCTTGGGTTATGGCTACAAAGAAGAACTCAAACATTCCTGAAAATTGCCATTGAAAAAAATCAATTGCCCCACGTTCCGCCACGATGCAAATGCAGATTTAACCCCTCCGCACCGACGCGTGTTTAGAAGGTCCCACCCGTCTCTTCTTAAGATGCTCAAGATCTGCTTAAGATGCTGCTGGTTTTACAACACTTGTTGTCCCAGAAAACTCCCAGATTAGTTATCAGGAAGTAGCGTTAGAGCAGCAAACAAGCAATGCAGTTTGTTTTTTCAAATGCACCAGATTTACTAGCAAAGAATGAAAACCACGGCCACTGCTCTAGCAAAAACCCTGGAAGTTGAATTAAAATTAGATGCACGGAGCTGAAGAGTGAGTATTCAGAAGAAACACAAAGCCCGGCACCCAGCCTGATGCACCACCTCTCCGAACGGTCGTGTCCTGGTTTGGGAGCCTGTCCTGGAATTTAGAGCCACCCTCGTGTTATCTAAAGAACGAGCTCTGCGTAGCAACAAGCGCCAGACACCTGATCCTGCCAGCATCAGAAGGAACAATCTAGCAACCAAGACGTGGTTTCACAAGAAGAATAAATACGGTTTCACAGGAATTCAACAGCACATTTCGGAGTCTCCGACGCACGGGATGAAGCCGCCCCCCAGCCCCCCTTTGCGAGCTGCACCGCTGGCATGGCAGCTGTCGCCGCGGGTGAAGCCAGGCTGAAAGGCTGTCTCCGTGCCGCAGCCCAACGGCAGATCCCGTTTTCCCTGACATCATGCCCCGTGCAATCTTCTTTTAAAACAAACCCTTGAGAAGCCACGTGAACGGTCTCTGAAGTTGCTTCCGCAGAGATGTCACGTCTCCGTTCCCTGTACATTTTTCTCTGCTTCAAGATCTACTCGAGGCAACGTAGATGTTTTCAGCCGGGTCTCCTGCCATGAAATAAGACCAGATTTATTTCAAGTACCATTCCAAACGACACGTCTTCCAGGCGAAGGCCAGGCGGTGCAAGCACATGGCATGGCTGAAAATACTAAGGGGCCAGAGCCACAGCCAAGAATCACTTTTACTGGCTTTGGGGGGTGGCGGTGGTGGTGTAAAAACAGTTAATTGTGTTTGAGAACGACGGGTCCTTCTTCTACCTTAACGTTCAGGCTTTGCCTGCTTGATTATGTAAAACTTTTAAACCAGTGATGCAATGCAGAAGCTTGAGTCACGCTGGCAGCAGAGCCAGCGCTGCAGACAGACAGGTATTCCGCCCCAAACCCGTGCCACGGACGTTGCGCCCGTTTCCTGCACCTACCGTTCGTTGCGGCTCTGGCTTCGCTCAGAGAAGCTCAGGGAGCTCTTCACTTACCAAGGGAACTCACCTGACATCCGACGCAGCAGCGAGACAGAGCGTGAAGGTCTCCACAACCTGGGGTGGGCACACAAGTAGCGTGCCATCCTCTACAGAAGGTTTCCTCATTAAAAGTCCCACCAAAAGCACATGAAACCCCGTCTCCAAGGCATGTTTCCAACCGATGAAGCAGCAGCAGCTGCCACCAGTGGCAAGAGCTGAACAACCCACGTTTGGAATAACGCTAGAGAGGCCTAAAATAAATAAGAAGTTGCCACAGCATGGCAGAGAGCACCGTGGCAGGCGGAGAACCACTAAGGTTTGTGCCCAGCCCTGCCAAAGCACAAGGGAAGACACAAGCTGTAGCATGCACAGATCCGGGGTTACGACACACGGGCCTTTAGCTGTCAGCATTTTGAACAATTCCATGAGAAAAAACAGGGAATCCTGGGAACGGAGCTTGGGAAGAGCCAGGCTGACATGTGCTGCCACCGCTACACGTGCCAAACACCTTCCGAAAGGAGGAGTCGCTGCGGTGTCCGCATCCTGCCGAGACTCCCTTCCAGTTGTGGCATGTCAACACGACAGCGGGAAGGCTTGGGCTGTAAAACAACACCCGACCGAGCGCCGGCGGGACAAGGGGCAGCACCGCTTTTGAAGAGATTCATTGCAATGGTTTTTTTGGACACAAGATTGGCTTTGAACAAAACCCAGTACTCCACAGCGTAACAAAAAGGGAGCAGGATGACTCTAAAGATGAAATATAATTGACTATATAATCCATGGTGCTATATACAGCGCAATTATTTCGGCGTATCGCTGCAGTAACGACGCTGCTGCTACTAAAGCATAAAAACTTCTGTCATTATGTACAGGCAACAAGTTATGAGTGAGAGTACAGCTAAACCATACGCCAAAATGAGAAGTCTTTGACTTTTAACACTAGATTTATTTATCCAAAAGGCATGGGAACCCTTCCACTCCTAGAGAACAGTGCTGTAAGATCTAACGCAGCCTCTCGGAAGAACTTGGGAAGCTCTGCTCTTGATGAAAACGCAACCTTTCAACTTTTTAAGAACAATTTCAAGAGGTTTTCAGCATAACCCAAACCAGGAGCGCTTCCTTCCAAGGTGCTATTCTAAGAAACTTCCGCAACTACTCGGTTTTCTTTTCATCCGTCCCGTCTTGCGGCATTGCGTACACGCAACCCTCAGTGCTTGGCTCCAGCTGATGGGAGACTCATCCCGGGCTGTTGGAGATGGGGCCTGTGTGCAGATTTCTCTTGTTCCATGCAATTAAAACCCACCCTAACAGCCAGGACGGCTGACTGCAGGCGGCACTGCGTGACCTACGGAGGGTGCCGAGGACTGACTGCTAAAGTTTTTTAAGAGAAGGTTGAAGAAGGGTGTTTGAGTCGAGCTGGTCTCGCCGTTGGGCAGAAACAACAAACAAGATGACATCAGGTGCCTTCTAGCCCTTTTGCCATGGATACTTAGCAGTAGCGTACTCCCCCCAAACCCTGTTTGGACAGTAGCTCCCTCACC